GAAGTTCCAGGCCGTGGGCGCCGCGGGTGCGGTCGGCCTCGCGGACTCGCTGCGGGTCCAGGCCGCCGCTCTGGCGCTCCGCGCCGCGGAGGCGCGAGCGCCGCCCGCCGAGGCCCTGGCGCTGGCGCGCCGGGAGCGCAGGAAGTTCCGGCAGGCCGGCGACGCCAGGGGCGAGGGCGCCATGGCGCTGACCGCCGCCGAGGTTGGACAAGCGCGTTCCACCATTCGCAAATCAATTGCTCGCAAATGGCCTGGATCCGTCGCGGGGGATTCACGATCTATCATGTAGGGGAAGACCTGTTTTTTCGGACGTCTGCGAGGAGGCGCTCTGCGAGTGGTGGAACGCGCTCGGCGAGAGGTGCGGTGCGACGCGCAGTGCAAGGGCAAGCGCGACGAGTACGCGGAGGGGCTGGACCAGGCGGGTGAGGCGCTGGAGCTTCTGCGGCGGGCCGGCGACCAGCAGCTGCAGGCTGCCGCGCTCCTGGTCTCGGCATTCCTGCACCTCCGCTCGCTCGCCCCGGCGGAGGCCGCCTCGGCCGCCGAGGCATCCCTGGCGCTGGTGCGCGGGCTGGGCGGCGGCGCCGCCGCCTCGAGGGGCGAGGCCAGGGCGACCCACGCGCTGGCGGCGGCGGCGATCCTATCTGGCAAGCTGGACATGGGCTTGAAGCTGGCAAGCGATGCAGTCGCATTGTTCAAGGCCGCCGGCGACAGGAGGCTCGAGGCCTCGGAGAACCTGGCGCTCGCCAGGTGGGCGCTGCTCGCCGGAGAGCCAAAGAGGGCACTGGCGGCCGCCCAGGAGGCAAGAAAGGCCTTCGAGGTGCTAAGCTGCCGCGGGGGCTGGGCGGGCGCGTCGGTCCACACGTGCGCCGAGGCCATGGTGGCGAGGGGGAGGGCCAGAGAGGCGCTGCGCCTGTGCAAGGACGCGTCGCTGAAGTTCATGAGGGCGGACGACTGGAAGGACTGCGTGTTCGTCCAGGACGCCCTCGCCCGCGTGCACTTGGCCATGGGCGCGCACGAGAAGGCTCACGGGGCCGTCGCGTCGGCGAGGTCCCTCCTCCAGGCGCGCTCCGAGGAGTCCTGGGAAGCCCGCCTCTGCCACACGGCCGCGGCGGCGCACCTGGCTGGCAAGGATTTCAAGCAGGCCATCGCGGCGCTCCAGGCGGCCGCCGCGCTGGCCGCCACGGCGGAGGACGACGACGAGGCAGCTGCAGCACAGCGTGCGCTGAGCTACGTTCACTCCACAATGCCTCACGGAAATTACAAGGACGCGCTCAAGGCGGCCTCGGCGGCGAAGCACCTGTCCCGGCAGGCGGGCGATCGGCTGGGAGAGGCCTGCGACATGATGGACATTGCGGTCGCCCATACAATGATGGAGGACACCGCTTCCGCCCTGGCGAGTGCGGGCGAGGCCCGAGCCCGCTTCCGGGAGCTGCAGGACGCGCGCGGCGAGAGCGGCGCGCTGCAGCTGATGGCGGAGGTCAGGGCGGCAGACCGGCAGTTCGAGGCGGCGCTGGAGGTTGCCGACGAGCGCCTCACGATCGCCCTGGAGCGCAGCGCCCCCGACCTGGAGGCCCGCGCGCGGCACCAGGTCGCCGCCTTCCACCTGGCGGACCAGAGCCTCGCGGAGGCGGAGAAGGTGGCCCGGCAGGCGGCGGCCTGCGCGCTGAAGGCCGGCGACGCGCAGGAGGAGGCGCGGATACAGATGACGCTTATGGAGATCTGCATGGAGGCCGCGGGGGACAGCGCCGCGGACCGCGGCTTTGCCCAGGGCGCCGGTGCCGCGATGAAGGCCGCCATGGACGCCGTGGCCGCGGCGGGCCGCTCGGGCGACCGTGCCCTGCAGGCCACGGCGTGCCTGGCCAAGGCCACCGTGATGCTTTGGCACGGGAGCCACCAGGAGGCCGACCGGGCCGTCGGCACGGCCAGGTCTTTGTTCCTGAGCCTCGGGAGTGAGGCGGGCGAGGCCAGGTGCCTGGTCGTGAGCGCCCAGCTGAAGCTAGCGCGCGGCGGCGCCGACGCCGCGCTTGACGCGCTGGCCAAGGCGGCGGCCCTGGCGAAGAAGGCTGGCGACGCCCTCACGGAGTTCGAGGCCGCCACCATTTTCAACAGCCTCAAGGCGCAGCTGCACGCCGGCGCCCCCGACAAGCCTGGCGGCGGCGACGCGGTGGCCGCAGGCCAGGCGGACGGCCCCGCGGTCGCGGGGGAGGCGTCCCCCGACGAGGAGGAGGACTGGTGGGCCTGGGACGAGGAGGGCATGGGCTCCGAGTTGAGGAGCACCCTCGCCGCCATGGTGAAGGAGGTAATGGCAACAGAGGAGGATCTGGAGCTGGACAGCCCGTTCATGGACGCAGGGATGGACAGTCTGAGCTCGGTCTCGCTCATGCAGGCGCTGACGCAGGAACTCGGCCTGTCCGCCAGCCCTTCGCTAGTGTTCGACTACCCCACCCTCCGCGCCCTCGAGGCCCACTTGCTGGAGGAGTACAAGAACATGGGCTCGTGAGACTCGCCATGCTCCGCTCTGTAGCTGCTCCTACTCCTCGTCTCTCCCCAGGCAGCCGTCATCGCCAAAAGATGGAAGTGCACCCAGCTCCCGTCACCACCAAAAGGTGGAGGTGCGCCCAACACCACTCATCTCCAGAAGTTGGGAATGCGCCTGGCACCCAGTTCCACTACATGTGGGGAGTCAGCAGCCCCCTACAGCAGAGGGCGCCGATGGGATCGTTCCCCTCAGCTAGGTGTAAGAGAAGGCTCCTTGGGACCGTCTTCGAGGCCATCTTGGGGCTCTCTTGGGGCCATCTTGCCCGTCTTGGAGGCATCTTGGAGGCCATCTTGGGCCATCTTGGCCGTCTTGGAGGCTATTTGGGCAATGGGCTCTGGATGTTGGGAGCTCGCCTGGTGGCCGGCGGGCTGGGCCGAAGCCCCAGTGGGATTCTAAAAAAAGCAGCATCATCAAGCACTCAGCACGCCACGCACCCTTGTTGCAAGCCGCAGGGGGGGGGGGGGGGGATCGAATACGTCTACGGCGAACCACCGCCGCCCCCTGCCTTCTGAACGCGCCTATGTGGCCGAACGTTGTGGCCAGAGCTCGGCCGAGCTATCGGACTATGTGTTCCCCGAGCTGTTGTGCATGCCGTTCGGGGAACACGAGGGAGAAAAGAAGAAGATTAGGAGAGGGAGGGAAAAGGAGGAGGATGATGATGAGGAGGAGGAAGAGGCCTCTTGGAAGCCTCTTGGGGCACTCTTTGAGCCTCCTGGGAGCTTCCTGGGAGGCCTCTTGGAGGCCTCTTGGGAGCTTCCTTGGGCCTCTTGAGCGCTTCAGGGCTGTCTTGGAGCGCTTCAGGGCCGTCTTGGAGGCCATCTTGGGTGTCTTGGAAGTGTCCTGGGCCGTCCTTGTGCCCTCTTGGGGTTAGCTTGGGGGCCTCTTGGGCCGTCAGGGGGGCCATCTCGGAGGCCTCTTGGGCGCTCTCGCGGCCATTTTGGTGGCCTCTGGTGCCATCTTGGGCCGTCGGAAGCCGAACATGAGCAAACGCCCAAGTCCTTCAATCGTGTCCGACGGTAGGACCCCACATGATAATCCTCCGAGCCAATCCAGAAGTAAGCCTCATCGTCGTCCTTGTGACTATGGAGGCTCTCCTCCTGTCTTGCATCGGCTGATTGATTGATTGATTGAGAATGGTCACCTCGGATTACAAAGGCCTGGAACTACCTACGTGAAGCGGGGCCCCTACAGGGATGGGGCTCCCACTCCAGACTTCCTCACGATTCACTCACAGACGAGGCTCCCGCTCGAGACATCCTTTCAGTTTGTGCAGGAACGAGGCTCCCGCTTGGTGAGTGCGTGAGAGGCGGTGACGACGACGCTGACGCTGACGCTGACGATAACGATGACGATGACGATGACGATACTGATGATGACGACAATGATGACGATGACGATGACGATTACGATGACGATGACGATGACGATGACGATGGCGATGACGATGACGATGATGATGATGATGCTGATGATAATGATGATGATGATGATAATGATGATGATGATGATGATGATGATGATGATGATGATGATGATGATGATGATGATGATGATGATCATGATGATCATGATGATCATGATGATCATGATGATTATGATGATGATCATGATGATGGTGATGGCGATGGTGATGATGGTGATGGCCATGATGGTGATGATGATGATGATGCTGCTGATGATGATGGTGGTGATGATGGTGGTGGTGATGAGGGTGCTGATGATACTGATGCTTCTGATGATGGTGATGTTGATGGTGATGATGCGGCTGGTGATGATGTTGACGATGATGATGCTAACACTGATGGTGATGGCGATGACCGTGGTAATGATGATGCTGATGATGATGATGATGCTGCTGGAGATGATGATGCTGATGCGATGCTGATGATGGTGGTGATGATGGTGATAAGAATGATGATTGTGATGATGATGCTGGTGATTATGATAATGGTGCTGATGATGATGGTGATGTTGGTGATGATGATGACGATGATGACGATGATGCGTGGTCATGATCACGATCAGGATGATGATAATTCAGATGCGACTGATGAATACAATGGAGATGATGGTGGTGATGGTCATGATGATTATGATGACGATTCGCATTTCTTCTTACATTATGATGATCGTGGTGGTGATGATGATGGTGATGGTGATGATGACGATGCTGATGCTGATGCTGATGCTGATCCTGATGCTGATGCTGATGTTGATGATGATCATGAGGATGAGGATAAGGATGAGGATGTCGATAAGGATTATAATGATGACGATGAGGAGGAGGAGGAGGAGGAGGAGGAGGAGGAGGATGGTGGTGATGATGATTATGGTAATGTGACGGTGATGATGTCCATGGTGAGGATGATGTGAGGTTGTGAGCCATAGAGGAGGGGGGTGAGGAGTTGCTGCGCGGGGTGTCCAGAGAAAACAAAAACCCCACTTAGGATGCGGGGGGGAAACATGGAACATCAATGATTTGGGCCTCTTCGGTCCTTCCCGGAGGACCTCTGGGAGGCCCCTTTGGCCGTCCTGGAAGCCTCTTACGGGCCTCGTGGACCGTAGTGGTCCATCTTGAGGCCATCTTGGGCTGTCTTGGCTGCGTCGTGGGCCGTCTTGGAGACATCTTGCGGCCATGCTGGGCTCTCTTGGGGCTGTCTTGGCAGTCTTGGATTGGCGGCGAGCAAGGGGGGGAAGTGAGAAGGGGCGGGCCATCTCAGAAGGCTCGGAAGTCCTCCAGCCTTCTGAGAAGTTTTCTAAGCCCCGAAGATACAGAAAACTTCTCAGAAGGCGCAAGGGCTTCTGAGAAGTCACGCTGCCTTCTGAGAAGGCCTTCTCCTTCTCATTTCCCCCCCTCGCTCGCCGCCAATTGGAGGCCATCTTGGGCGTCCTGGACGCCATCTTCGAGCCATACTGTACGGAAGCACCTTTGCCTTTCACATCCGGAAGAGCTTTCCGAGTGGCCGGCGGCCAGGGCCGAAAGCCCGATGTGAGTCTTTAAAGAACCGAAGACCTGCCGGACGTTCGGCACGCCGTGCACCCCTGTGGCAAGCCACAGGGGGCGGCGGATCGAAGACGCCTACATACGGCGAATCACCGCCGCCCCTTGCATTGTAGGATACGCCTATGTGGCCAATCGTTGGGGCAAAATTTGTCCACGCTTTTGGACAACGCGTTCCCCCAGCCGTTGTGGAAGCCCTTCGGGAAACACGTGGGTGGGGAAGAGGAGGACGAGGAGTGCGAGGGAAACAGAGGATGATGAGGAGACCTCTTGGGAACTTCTTGGGTTGTTCTTGGGGCCTCGTGGGAGCTTCCTGGGAGCCTCTTGGATGCGCCTCCTTGTGCTTCTTGGGGGCCTCTGGGGGCTTCTTAGGAGGCCCTTGGCTATCTTACGGCCTTCCTGGCCCGTCTGACGCCGTCGGAAGCCGTCTTGAAGGCCACTTTGAAGCAAATTCTGAAATCTGTCAAAACATCCTGAGACAATCAATGATTTCGGCCTCTTCAGGCCTTCCTGAAGGCCTTTTGGAGGCCTCTTGGGCCATCTTGGGGGCCGTCTTGGGCCATCTTGAGACATCTCGAGACCAGCTTAGGCCGTCTTGGGTGCATCACGGACCGTCTTGAAGACCATCTTGGCGCCATTTTGGGCTCTCTTGGGGCCATTTGACCGACTTGGACGCCATGCTGGCCGTTCGGGACGCCAATTCGAGTCCATCTTGAGCGAGAAAGCCGACGGGAGGTGGGTCGCCAAGAGCTTTCTGGGTGGCTGGCGGGCTGGGCCGAAGCCCCCCCGGGGAGTTCTTTGGATGAGAACCAACAAGTTGCTAGACATTCGGCACGCCGTGCGCTCCGGTGGTAAGCCAACAGGGGACGGCGGATCCAGTGGCCTTCGGCCCATCTCGCCACCTGGCCTGGGCTGTGGTTCAGAGGCCCCTCGGATGCAAATGAGGGTATCCTGAGATGCCTCTCGGGGGACTCTTGGGAGGCTCTCGGGGGCTTCTGGGGGGCCTCTTGGGAGCCCTTGGGGCGTCTTGGGGGGGCCTCGGGAGCCTCTGGGGGGTCTCTCGGGGCCACCGTGGGGTGGAAGGCTCGACATGTCCGTTCGTGTCCCCCCTCCTTGGGCCCCAGAAGCTTCTGGAGGTGTTCAAGAGGTCCTGGAACCAGCTGGAAATCCGGGGGTCGGGGCCCCTAAAAGCCTTTCAGTCCCTCTACATCTCAGGGCTGCAAGGCTGCGTGAGCCTTGGGACGCTCCATTACGTGCTGAAGGCACGGCGGCGGATATGCGGACATCACCTTCCCGCAAAGAAAGTCATGGATAGGGGATAAGGGTTCCCCCCTGGCTCGGTCACAGGATAGAGCGCATTCGGTCCTTGCGATCCCCTCCCGTCCGCTCACTGGGAGGCCCCAGGAAAAGGTCGGCGACAGTTAACAGACACAGTCACACGTGCCAGAGCCTTGGCCGCGCCGTCCCAGTGACAATGAAAACAAGCAAAACGCCAAGTGCAGATGTCACGGTGACGATGCGGCGACGCATCCGTGACCGCTCCAGGTGCGAAGAGACCCCATAACTCAACTCAGAGGAAGCGCGCGGATTCAGTCTAAGTTTCCTCCCCACCCGCGCACAGTGTACATACGATCCTCCTCTCTGTTCCCCCTTCTGGGATTCGTTGTCCACCTGACGGGAATCGTTGGGCAGTGCAAACCCTTGCATTAGCCCGCCGCTCTGAGCAGATCCAAATCCACCGATTTCGGATCATTGCCAAGGCAATTTCGCCTCCCCGTTTGGGATGCCGCCCCTTACGAGCCCCAAGTCGTCAGGATCTCCACAGGGTATGTGGTGAGCAGGGGGTAGTGGCCAGCGCGTGCGATCGAGAGGTGGAGCATCGCCAGGTGATCCGTACTAAGCACCTCGACATCGAGGCTATCCACCATCCCTCGTTTTGGGCCGCGAGGTGGTGCTCTCC